CCAAAGTAGCCACCTACCAACGAACCTTGAGTGTAACATGTATCTTAAATACCTGTCAGATCACATAGTCACAAATATTTGCTTATACACCATATACCCAACTTAAAATACAGCTACAGAGCACAAATGAGTTACCCGAACAATGACTAGAACGACAAAGAGGAGAAGGTTCTAGAAAAGAGTGTATAATATCATACTGTAAAGCTTGAGTGAAATAAATCAATCACTAAAGGACAAAAATTGTCTGACTTCACGTACATGTATAAGAAAAAGCAAATGCACAGATAATAAAGTTTATTAGTGGTTACCAGAGATGGGGGAAAGGGAGATTAACAGTGATGAAAATGACATTGACTAAAGGTAAGGCTGCACAACCAATTATTGTAATGACTGTCAATAGGTTGCATATCTGTAAAAAGCTGAACTGGGAAGAGTTGTGTGATAGGTGTATTTACAACAATGACCTCCCCCATCCCACCCTTCAACCCCCCCTAAAGAAAGAGAGAGTAATTGTTGAGGATGGTTATGTACAGCCAAAAGCTTTAAGGGAGGTGAGTCTTAGTGTTAGGTAGCCAGAATAGGGGTAGGGGGGCGGGAGGTTGTCCCTCCCATGCCTGCACAGGGCCCCAAGAGGAGGTGGGGAAGTAAAATCAGGTGAGCATTACACACCTAAGAGGACCCCTTAACTGAGCATGCTCCAATTCAAGCCCCCAGCCAACTGGGAAGTACACCTAGGCGGTCCAAATGAGGCCCGGCCCATCCTATCACCCAGGTGGGCTCAACCCAGCCAACAGGGTCCACCAAGTAAAGGCAGGAAGCACACTCTGGGACCTCTCTCTTCTCCCCGACTCTCCCCCGTGTCCGCTCGTGCAGTGCCACATTCTGGCCTCACTTCCACAGGGGTGGGTGTGCTGCTCCCCAAGGTTGCTCGTGTCCACTTGTGAACTTCCGCGAGGTTTGGCATGCTTCCCTGAAATAGCCTGTATTCTTTTGAGACTGTAAAACCTGAAACTATTCCCATCCTTCATACAAACTCACTTGGATTACAAACCGGTGGCGTCACTGGAGATCCCCTTGCAGAGGGGTCTCAGGGAGGAGATGAACCAGTCAGGGTGCGATGTAACAATGATGAGAAATACAACTTTCCTCTAGTTCCTAAAGGTTTCCTCCCCGCTCCCACTACCATGACTCGAATTCGATCTAGCAAGACTGGCTAGACCAGAGGAGGTACACTGGTACAGATAGGAACTGAAAATACAGGGAATCCAGGACGGATGAGCCCTATAGGACCAGTGGTGTGAGTGGCAAAACAGGGAGGGTAAAGGGAGAATGGGTAGGAAAGAGGGAACCGATTACATGGAACTGTGTGTGACCTTCTCCCTGGGGGACAGACAACCGAATAGTGGGTGAAGGGAGACGTCGGACAGGGCAAGATATGACAAAATACCCATTTATAAACTATCAAGGGCTGATGAGGGAGGGGGGAGCGGGGAGGGAGGGGAAAAATGAGGACCTAATGTCAGGGGTTTAAGTGGAGAGAAAATGTTTTGAGAAACGATGTACAAATGCGCTTTACACAATTGATGTGTGTATGGATTGGGATAACAGTTGTATGAGCCCCTAATAAAATGTTAAAAAAAAAACACACACAAAAAAAAACCGGTGGCGTCGTGAATTCTTTCTCGTGGGAAGCCAAGAACCAAGGTATTATCCACTCGAGAACCTTCACACTAGGTTTGGAGGTTTAGAGCCTTGATTTTAAGGGCCATCCCAGTGAACAGGCCAAATAGTGAGTTTAGTGCTTCTGTTCTACCTCCTAGCTCAGCGGTTCTCAACCTGTGGGTGGCAACCCCTTTGGGGGTCGAATAACCCTTTCACAGGGGTCACCCGATTCATCACAGTAGCAAAATGACAGTGAAGTAGCAACGAAAACAATTTTATGGTTGGGGGTCATCACAACATGAGGAACTGTATTAAAGGGTCGCGGCATTCGGAAGGTTGACAAGCACTGTCCCTAGTTCAATATACAGTGCTGTGTGTCTTAAAAAGCTGCAGCGGCCTCTAAGACATTACAGTTGGTAATGTCCCTTTCCCCAAAGCTCAACTTCTTTGAGCTCTTAGTTATTTCTTCTAGCATTTATCACCATATTTTTATACTGCTATCTCAGGGGTCTCCAATTTCTTGTATTATCATTTACTGATGTTATTTTGCTAGATGTATACTCAAACTACTATCCACTCAGTAAAGCCATGTTACAATTTTCATTCATCTCAAAGTTTATGTTTGTAATAAGTATATATTTCTTTTAAATGGAGTTAAGTCTTGCCAATCTTGCCTCCAAGGAGTGTTCCGGGTGTCCTTCTCCAAGATAGATTTGTTTGTTCTCTTGTCAGTCCCTGGTTCTTTTGACATTCTTCCCAGCACCACAATTCAAATGCATCAATTCTTCTTTAGTCGTCCTTAGTCAATGTCCAACTTTCACACGCATATGAGGCAACTGAAAGTATCATTGTTTGTTTTTTTGTTTTTGTGTTTTGAATGACTAAATAAGTCTATGCAAATCATGTGCTGATGGCCCATCAACTGGATCAGACAGCTGACTAACAATGCAAATAAGGTGTATGGCACCCTAATGGGGAGACAGGTCCACTCTGCCATTCTGCTAGACTGAAAATAAAGGAGGGGAGGGGGGACCACATAGTAGGCTGCATGTGGGGCTGCTAAGCACCAGACCAGCAGTTTGAACCTACCAGCTGCTCCTCCACAGAAAGATGAAGCCTTCTGTTCCTGCGCTTTACACAATTAATGTATGTATAGATTGTGATAAGAGTTGTATGAGCCCCTAATAAAATGATTTTTTTTTTAAAAAAAAAAAACATAAAAAAGGAAAAAAAGAAACAATACCAAAAAAAATTTACAGTCTTAGAAACCCACAGGGAATTTTCTACTCTGTCTTAGAAGTCATTATGAGTTCGTTCTGGTTGTTTGTTTGTTTGTTTGTTCGTTTGTTTGTTTGTGAAGGGGAAGGGGTTACACTTAAAATGAACTACCCCAAAAGTGGGCAGCGGGAAACCTCACTACCAACAAGAAAGATGAGTCACGAGCAGAGCATGTCCCTGCACTGAAACTCTCCTAAACCCAGACACAGAGAAAGGCCAGCTGGAACTCTGGTGACGTGAGAGATGTGGAGAAATGGCAGCACAACCAGACAACATACACAAAATGGCACAGTGGGCTTTTCCACCCTCGGAGTGAGGCAATTACAGTGGGTGTGCCAACCCACCAAGCGAAAGGGCTTCGGGCTTCCTGGTGGAGTAGGATGTCCCTGGTTACTTATTGGCAGAGCTAATGCACTTTTTAAAACATGCCAGAGCAGAGACCAAGCCAAAGGATCAGAGAGGCCTGGCTGCAGGCAACTAATGAAAGAGACAATCCTGATGGAATAAACTATCCTGAGTCACTCCTGATCCTGAACTGTTATTTTCTGAATAAAGCCCTTCACTATGAGTTATCACCTGTAATCTCTGTGTGGTCATTGCAACAGTCTTGGAACACACAGGGGCAGCATCAACTCGATGGCAGTGAGTTTTGTTTTGAGTTTATTTTTAATTTAATAGCTGCTGTTTTTGAGAAGCCACCACCGTCGAGTCATTGCTGACTCACAGTAACCCACACAGGTTTTCCAAGGCTGCACATATTTATGGGAAAAGATAGCTTCATCTTTCTCCTGTGGAGCAGCTGGTGGGTTTGAACCAACGCAGTTAGCAGCCAAATGTTTATCAGGTGCTACCTGGACACCTTTTGAAAAGCATCTATCTAAAAAGTCCATGCTGACATAAATAGGCAAACGCCCTCCCAGGTTTTTCATGTGAATACATGATTGCTTTCCTATCTAAACTAAATGGACGTGCTATGAAAGGATTAAATGAATATAACATTCGATTAAAAAAAACACTGTTGAAAAATTGTACAGTTGTCCCTCAGTAATCTGGGGGTTTGTTCCAGAACCCCCAGGGGCAAGAAAATTCAAGGATGTTAAAATGCCTTCTATAAAGTGCTGTGCAATTTACAGCCTCTTGTAAACTTTAAATCATCTCTAGATTGCTTATAATACCTAATTCCAGGTAAGTGCTAGGTAAATGAAACTTTAAGGTCTCTTGGCCTTTAAGGGGTCACTTTGACCACTTAATTGCTGCCCCTCACCACAAAATATTTTCAGTCCCTGGAATCCGAGAACATGGGGGCCACCTGTGTCTAGTATGATCCTATCCGTATAGAAACAAAACATATATACTATGTAGGGACAGCAAGGGTAGCTTGAGTGAGGATGTGTGTTGTGTGTTTGCATTAAAAAAGGGCAGAAAGATATTCACCAAAATGTTAGCAGTGGTTACCATCATCAGTTTAGGTTATTTTCTCCTCTATTGTGCACGACATTCATGGTTTCTATGTGTTTTTAATTGCTATAAACCAAGAGAGATACTGAACGTGGCAGAGAACACTAATAGGTTAAACTTGGCTTCCACAGACACAATAGGTTTCTGGAGCATCTTTACTCCCACATCCCCTAAAGGAAACCAGCTGAAGGGTACCTGGAAAGTCGAGGATGAAAGAAGTAATGTTATGTCATATCTGAAAAACACTTAGGGTTCACATTTACCCCACCACTCCCATCCTTTGACCACAATTGTCTGACCATAGGAAACCAAAATTAAAAACAAAAAACACCCTGGAGAGGATCTACACAGATTCATACAAAACACAGGCTATAATTTCAAAGAATGCACCGAGCTGGAAAAACAGCCAAGCAACCTCTTGAAGAGAGTGGAGAGGGAGGAAGCTGCACCATCACTCCCTCCTCCTTTCTTTGATTCCTGATTGATCTCTTGACATCTCACATACGAACTTCTTGGTCAACTTACCAACAAGTGGCCACAGGGCCCCCCTGACAAAGGCTGGGCAAATCAAACAAGGCAGTAAGAAAGGGTTAGAATCCTACCTTTTCCAAAATGAACTTGTTTAAATACGGCATGTAGCCCTGATTGGAGACAGGCCCTTCATCATCGTCCCTGAAATGTTCTTCAAGGGCAACAGGGTCGTGAGGAACTTTCAGCACCGTGCACAGATTGTGTGACAGGACCTACGGGGCAAAGAGAGGAGTTTGAAGGCACTCACTGTCCAACACATGCCACCTGCACTGTCTGAACACAGCCCTGCTCCTTTCCCTGCACAGGGAAAGATGGAGAACTAGCAAATGCGGGGTAAGTATTGCTCAGCTGTCAGCTCCCAATCTGCTCCCTCCTACTTGTTCTCATTCCACCACCCCACCACCACCACCCCACCACCACCACCTCACCACCACCACCCCACAATCCCCGCCCAGTTTCAGTTCACTTCAAGCAAGTCTCTGCCGCAAGCCAGGCTTGGGCAAGATCTGTGGCTATAAGGCTGCTTGTCTTTTATTAATTGGCCCACATTCTAGAGAAAAGGGGAAAAAGAGCAAGGGAACGTGTGCAAAATTAAGCTGCTCCCAAATGGAGCAGGGTCAGCCAATTAGAGCTGAGAGAGAAAAGAGCCTGGTACCGGGACCCAGGGTTCCGGGAGAGATTGCTGACCTGGGCAAGTCATAACCTCTCTGGGCTCCAGTTTTCTCATTTGCTCAATAGAAAAGGCCAAATTAGTATAAAAACCTACCAAATGCTAATTAGCTCACCCCTGAGAATCCGATCACTTCTAGAATCCTCTGACCCTATGCTAAGTTTTCAGTATAAAGCGTCTAAGCGAAAGAAAAAGAGAGAAGACCTGATTTAGAACAGAAGCTAAATCAATTGCACAAACATCTCAGGAGTCAGCAAAAAGGTTAAAAATACTGTATAGAAAATACTTCATACCATGCCTATGTAATTCCACAGCACGTATGCCACTGTTGCAACAAGCTACGCGCATACTTTCATCTTCAGGTAGTTTCACATTAAAAAACACAACCTGACATTCCTTTCATCACTTCCTTGGTGCCTTCTGAGCAGGTCAAAGTACAGGCTCTGCTGCAACTGAACACAACCTTAGCCAAGGCTGTGCTGTGACAGAAAATCTTAGGTGGCAATCCGCGATTAACCCCCTTCCTCCTTGTGCTGGTCCTCACCCTCTAACCACTGCGGGAGCCACATTCATCCAAAGACCACTTTTCATTCCATTAAGCCCGTCACTTTCCCCTGCCCGGCATCAACACATGACAGCTCGCTTTATTTTTGAAGTGGTCCTCTATAAAAAGAGCATTTACATAGCTCCTTTGCACCTTGGTCTGTGGCTCACAGCATCACTTAGGTGGCGATCCTTTTCTACAGGCTCTGCTGATTTTAAGGAAGTAAGTAGAGGAAAGGAAGTCAACTCACAAACGGTTTAAAAGCCAGTCATGAAGACTGACACGCTGTAGAGAAGACTTTCATCAGCCCCTACAAAGCAGGCTGTGTTTCCCAAGCGAGCCCTCTCCTTGCCAGCGGAGCACATGAAAACAGGCAAGCTGGTGCTTGGAAGAAAGAACCTTGCTCCGCGTGCGTTTCAGTGAAATCCTAAAGAGGTGTTTCCTTCTCTCTTTACCGAGCAGCGCCTACCCACCCCAAACAAGTTCCCAGAGTATCAAATTCACACACGTGAACTTGTTTATGAACTGCACAGTACCCCAGGCACATACATTCTAGGGAAATGGCAGGCGCGTCTCAGACATGGCTCCAAAGGTCATTCAAAACGGAAAATCGTTGGGGACTTTACCCAAAATTCCCCACCCCTAGCTAAATTATGGTCTATTCCATAACACGTTGAGAAGGATGAGGAAGCTCTACTGGGTACTGATAGGAAAAGATGTCGGAGGTAAATGAAGTGGGGTGAAGGGAGGAGGGGGTGCAAATAAACTTGGGAAGGTTCGTTAAGAAACTGTTAACAGTGGGCGAAGGCTAGTTTGACGGGAGACAAAAGTAAATGTTTTACTTCTCCTTTTCATTTCTTAAAGTTACCTGCTTGAAAATGTATTACTTGCTTAAAAATATAAAATTAAAGAATACATATGTAGTAGCCAAACTCAGATCACACAGTCAAATCCACTTAGCTTTAAAGCCAGTCCTTTTACTTCGACATCAACCTGTACAGTATAAAAGGCATGGTCACAGCCTGGTGCCGCGTTTAATATAAGGACAAAACAAATGATTTCAGAAAAGGAGCAATGGCATGTGCTACACAGGCTTCATAAGGACCCCTGGTGGCACGGTGGTTACATGCTCAGCTGCTCACTGAAAGGTCAACGAGAGAAAGATGAGGCTCTCTGCTCCCAGAGAGAATTACAAAAGCCCAGAAACCCTCCACAGGGTCCCTATGAATCAAAATCGACTCGAAGGCAGTGGTTTAAGGTGGCATAGTTGGTCAACATCTCAACCCCGTCAGCCACTCCAAGGGAGAAGGGTGAGCCTCAGAAACGGAGGGAAACCCTGTCACGGTGTGTCAGAATGAGTAACTTCAGAGAAGATTTGCAATATGGCCTCAAAAAAAATCACTGCTGTCAGGTCAGTATTGAGTCATAGCGACCCTATAGGACCGGGCAGAACAGCCTCTGTGGGTTTCTGAGTCTCTCCCTAGCCGTGGGAGTAGAAAGCCCTGTCCTCCCATGGAGTGGCTGGTGGGTTCAAACTGCTGACCTTTTGGTTAGCAGCCCAGAGCCTAATCACTACACCACCAAGGCCTAGACCTTACAATAAAGATAAACATTTGGAATACAATTGAAGCAAATAGGTTTTTCAGACAGAGAAATAACATAAGAAAAGTAGTTTTGATTAGTAAAAAGTCCTCAGAGAACAAAGAGGGAAAAACTAATCTCTCCCATGCCTGCCTTTGGCTTTCAGAGACTCTTCTAAACTAAAACTCTACCAGCGGCCTTGGCCACCACCTGGTCAATACTTGTTTCAGAGATGGAGAATCCTGGCTCAAAGTGACTAAATGTGTCTTTCTTGATGACAGTTGCTGGACAGAAATAAGACCTTAACTGAGGTTTTGTAAGTGCTGGTCCAGCCTCTCTGCTAATGCGGGCCTTTGGGCTTTCAGTTCTTTAAAGTCATCAGTGATCTCTGTGCTCAGCCTGATTCAGGGATTCCCATCGAGGAGAGATTTCAATATGAACCCTAGACTTCGGTCATGGACAATTAAATAATACTTTAGTTAAACAGAAGGCAAACTCAATGATAACTGCCTTAACCACCTTACTTAATAATAAGTAAGTTGTGAGGGAGGCAGCACATTGCAGTGAGAAGGGAGGTCTGAGACCCAGACGGGTCCAGCCACTTACTTACTTGGTATGCTCACCGTCAAATAAAAGGACGAGCTTGTCTCTACAATTTCAGATGGGGGAAATGCACACACACCTTAAATATGAAACCCAACCACTTAACATGAAAACCCGACTTAGTTCATAATTCAGCCAAGAGAACTACAATTTGTATCAGAACTTCAGCTTTGCTGTAGCTTTTTTTTTACTGTTAGTAAGGTCGGCCTGGGACAAGGCCTGGTGGTGCAATGGTTAAGCACTCAGCTGCGACGCGAATGGTGAGTGGGCGGTTCAGAGCCTCCGTGGGTCAGCAGGCGGCAGATCACAGCCTAGAGACCTCTGTGCAGCAGTTCAACTCTGTCACGCTAACTACGGTACTGGGCACGTTTCTAGGAAAACCTGGATTTATCTCACTTCCGAAGGCCATTGCGTTAGCGCCCACTGATAGCGCAGCCTGTATTCACCTTCCTCGGATTTGAAGAAACCCCTCTCCACCTCTTCCCCAGTGGCCGCATGGTCCCTGCAGAGCCTCCGCTGACAAGGGATGACGGATGAATGAGCGGCACGCGCTCCTGCCCACGTGTCTCTTCCATCTATCACAAAAATGATGGCAGTCGCCCCAACTGTGCTCTACCACCCGTATGTGTACTGTTCACCTCCTCCCGCCACAGATGCGGAGACTGCAAAAGGCTCTCTCCAACGTGCCCCTGACCCCTTTCCACAACTTCCCTTTACAGGATGTGCGTAATGGGCAACTCGGAAGAGGGCTGGGGGTGGGGCGTGGCGCACTTCACTCCAACAGACTTATCTGAACCAACACAATTATAGAATCATAACTCATAACGAACGTCTTTTTTTAACGCATAAAAATCCCTAAGTCTGATAAACTAAGCTTTCAGTCTATGTGGCAAGTTACCAGAAAATTCTTCCTAACAATGAACCAGAATGACCAATTTCCTACCACTGCCATGCCCTGCCTTGAGCATTGTCTTACTAGCAGGCCTGTCCCTTGCCTCAGGGCGTCATTTTTCCCCTTTCTGACAATATCCTTTCATCCTGCTGGTTGCTGGACTTGCTTGCTTTCTCTTAAATTATCCTTGCCCTGTTCAGCCCCAAACATCTTAGTCATCACTGACCATGCCCTGTCACTGGGACCCTGAGTACAATCCATCACCATCATAGACATTTCTGCCTAAGGTTAAGGCAAATGTATCTTCAAATGCTGCTTACAACATGTATATTATTAGAGCTTAAACTCTGAGCAACCCCAGTTTGCAGAAGGATAGGGCTGGCGGTAAAAAAACCAAAATCCATTTGTAGAGCCCCCATGGAGATTAAACCTCCACTGAATTCCTACTGATCATTAACCAAGGAGGTAGATAATCTTGCCCTCAGATAGAGGGCACTGGAAAGTGGATCACCTCCACCCCTCCCCAGCCAGCCCTGGAGGGGCAGTCTGCCTTCGGGACTTGCCTGGGTGGGTCCTTAAAGGGCAGTTCCGCTGGGTCCGCCTGTCAGTGGGAAGGCCCTGGATCAATTTTGTAAGCTCTTCTATGGAACAGAATGTAGGAACCCAATCTTGGTCCTGTCCAAGCGTCTGTAACTGTGATGTATGGATCTGTCACCAATCAAGAACTTGTGACAGTCTCCTTTGTCCCAGACCTTATTTAACTAGCTTCCTCACTGTAAATCTATGGAAGCCATTTGGGTCTCGTGGCAAAGGTCTCCCTCATCCGGATGATGTGTCTTTGTCTTTGTCCCATTTAAGACTTAATAAATGTTCTCAAACTATATTTGAGATCAAGGACTCTTTTGTACCCTAAAACACATGC